AACTTTGACATGTGATGGGAAATATGTCAGCCACGTGGCCGACAAATTTCGCAGCTGATTTTTTCCGAATCCAAGAACCGACTAGAAACTCTATTCGATGATTCCTCTTTCCTTTCGACCTTATCACACCCCTTCACTCTAATCATATTCTTTTGTCTGCAGCATAATCATACTATTATTTATCATTTTATTTGATCAATAGAAAAATAAACAAGCTGAATATACTATATTTGCTTTTTGCAATTATAAATCCAGAAGTACTCTTGTCAACTAATGCCTGGATTCGTTTATATGCCTCCATTTAACATTTCGTTTTGTTCATTTAATGTGCCATTTATGGAATCATCTCATGTAAGTAACTTCGACATTAGTCCTCAAATAAAATTTAAAATCGAAAATGTTCTTGAAGGCTACTCTTTTATTCAAACCAAACTTAAGAACCAACACTTAATTAAGATTTAAGACACATTCATAAAAACACAAGCATTCATTTAAACTTAAGCTAACATTACAATTCCAACGTCGACACACATAAACTCTCTTTCTTCTCTTTCACTTCTTTAAACAAGAGAATCACAAACATTACGTAAACAAGAAAGTAACCATCATCTTCATTATTTAGGGCAAGCTGGATCGAACGCAAACGGACCGACGTTAAAGAGACCATAGGTATGTTTGTTAATGACCACCGCAGATTTTCCCGGAACTCTCACCGGCTTGAGTACGGCACCAACATCTCCACCGTAGAGCTTAGAGACTTTGCTACATTTGTTGTCCTTTGACTTAACCAGATACACACGACATCCTCTGAAACCGTAGTTCGTCACCGTCTTCGGACCCAACAACAAGAAGTATCCGTTTTTGTCTGTTGTAGTTTCAGATACAATGTTCTTCTTGCTCTTACACAATAGTCTCACAACAGCACCTACACAAAACCCAAATAATGAAAAATATCCGTTAGATTTGTTTTTGGAGTAATGGAAATAGTTATGTGACTTTTAATTATTATTTTTTGGGGGTTCGTGAAATTTACGTGACAGACTGTAAAAAACAGTGACTGATGAGTGCAGGAGTGTACATTATGGTCACTTTATTTTTTTTCACCTCTTTTCGAAACATTGACTCATTACGTACCTATGGACCCACTTATGTTTTGAAATTTGAATCATTTTTTTGAAGTTTGCGTCATGATTTGAGATCGAATACGTATTAATAATAATGTAAATCTACGTACGTATACAGTATTGAATAAATGCGTATGCAGAGCGTATAAGTTTAAGTTATTTTAAAGATCCATTACTAAGGTTATTAATGTGTTTATAAAATAAATTAAAGGGAAATATACGAATTAAGTTAATGAAAAAATTTTATACCTTCGACGGGTTTAGCGCCTAGGAGTGTGTTGTAGGCAGCGTATTTGCAGCTTTTGCAGTAAACTAGACCACGAACGGCGACTAGGCTCCGGTTAAACTTTGGTGGGTAAACCGGAGGCAACACTGGTGGCTTTGCTGGAGGAGAAACTGGTGGTTTAGTTGGAGGGGAAACCGGAGGCTTAACTGGGGGCTTAGTTGGGGGCTTAACCGGGGCTTTGGCCGGAGGGTAAACCGGAGGCTTAACCGGAGAAACTGGTGGTTTAACTGGGGGTTTAACTGGCGGCTTAACCGGAGGGTAAACCGGAGGCTTAACCGGGGGTTTGGCTGGTGGAGAAACAGGTGGCTTAATTGGGGGTTTAACTGGAGGCTTCACCGGGGCTTTGGCCGGAGGGTAAACTGGAGGCTTCAACGGAGCTTTGGTTGGTGGAGAAACCGGTGGCTTAACCGGAGATTTGGCTGGT